TCCCAGCTCCTCCCCGGAGCGGCGGCCCCCTCCCAGCTCCTCCCCGGGCGGCCCCCTCCCAGCTCCTCCCCGGAGCGGCGGCCCCCCTCCCAGCTCCTCCCCGGGCGGCGCCCCTGCCACTCCGGCCCTGAGGGCTCACGTTCACACTCGAGGGTCCCGGGTAGGGTCGGGGCTTCCCACGCCCGCCCAGACGATTAAAGGCCCCGAGAGCTAGTTTGTGTGGAGGCTTCCATCTGTTTTTACGCACTTCGGAAGTTCAACTTGCGGAATTCGTTCACTAAGTTCATTTAAAGTGATCAGTGATAAACCCATCACGTGTTAACGTTTTGTGAACAATAGACATTTTCTGAGGCAGAGTTGTAGCGTGGACAGTGGTGGTGGTTCGCATCTTTGCGAGTGTCCACGTGCGGCCCCGTGGACGTCTGTGGCCAGGCTGTCCCCTCAGCGTCCTCCTTCTGACGCTTTGGCTGATGTGTGGGAAGGAAACCTAGCCGTGTGGCGGGGACGCGCTGGAACCACTTTCGGACGATGTGGCTCTTGTTTGAAAGCACCTGAACTCTGCCCGTTGTGCTGTGATCCCGGCGCCGGCAGTGAGCTTCCCGCAGTCTGCTCCACTGGCTTCCCTGGTCTGTCTGGTGCTTTGTGTCTTTGGTCCAGGCGGGGCTTTGTGACATCCGCATCGTCATTTGGAAAATATTGCTTCACTGACTACACAGAGCTTCCAAATGCTGACGTTTCTTTTTTATATATATATAAATTTATTTATTTATTTTTTGTGTTGGGTCTTCGTTGCTGCGCGCGGGCTTTCTCTGGTTGCGGCGAGTGGGGGCTGCTCTTCGTTGTGGTGCGTGGGCTTCTCATTGCAGTGGCTTCTCTTGTTGCGGAGCATGGGTTCTAGGCACGTGGGCTTCAGTAGTTGTGGCACCCGGGCTCAGTAGTTGTGGCTCACCGGCTCTAGAGCGCAGGCTCAGTAGTTGTGGCGCACGGGCTTAGTTGCTCCGCGGCATGTGGGATCTTCCAGGACCAGGGCTCGAACCCGTGTGCCCTGCACCGGCAGGCGGATTCTTAACCACTGCGCCACCAGGGAAGTCCCTGACATGTTTCATTTTACAGTATGAAAAACTCACTTCCTCATCAGAAAAGCCTTTAAGATTGGGAAGTTGCCAAGCTTTTACGAAAGACAGACGTTTCCAAAATTGCCGTTTTCTCCTGAAAGCGCAAGTGCTATCATTGGCAGTAAATACTGTCCGTCCTCCCTGAAGTGGCAGGCTCACTGGTCCTTTTCTGAGAAGCCGTCTGCGAGGACTGTGGTCGAGGTGACCCTGCACACCTCACACGGCAGGTCCCCCTCCAGTGGCAGTGGAGGGCCGCGCATACTCCCCACATCTCCACTCAGAACGTCGCAGGGACCAGGACTCAGGTTGGAGGACGTCCTGAAGCTGCACTGCTCTGCGTGAGTGTGTGGTGGTGAACTTTGGTGCCTCGGTCTGTGCGGAGCCGCCAGTGGTGCAGCCCCCTGCTTTTGCACCGTCGATGTTGTGAGGAATGTAACGAGTCTCCCTGCGCGTGGCCCCCTGGACAGGGGTCTGCAGGCCACCTGTGAGAACTACTCTGCTGGAGGAGGAGGGAGACGACCCCTGGGGTGAGCGGAGCCAGTGAGACGGCGGGCCATGCTTCCCCGATGTCCAGCAGGGTCACCTCGACTGTCCTCAGCCTCTTTCTGGCCAGTTCAGAGCAGCTGCATGTCAGAGGTCACGCTGCAGCATTCCCAGAGAGCCCCTGTGACTCCATGATCTGCCTTCCCTATAGAAGTACAGGTGTCACTGTGTCCTGGGCCCCAGGCCTGTTCCCGGGAGAAGGAAAGGGGGCAGGTGTTGGAGCTGGGAGCAAGACTGAGGTGATTCTGCCTCTGCCTGAGGACCAGTTACAGGTGACCCTTATAGGGGGCAAAAGCAGCCCTGAGGGGCAGAGGTGTGGGGAGGGGGAGGCCTGGGCACAGCTGGGTGGTGGGGAGCGCTGACTGGCGCCTGGGAGGACGGTCTCTATTCCACGTGACACCCAAGGATGGCCCGTGCTCACCCAGCAGGATGGACCCTGGTGGGAGCCCCGCCCTCACACCTTCTGCCCTCCTGTCCGTCAGCTCTCCCCAGCGCCCTGCTGGCACCTGAGGACACCCTGGGCAGCTGCCAGACCATCTCTTGGGCAGCTCGGCTTGGGCTGGGGGGTGCAGCTGGGAGGAGAGGTTTCCTGGAGCCAGAACTTGGTGGTCGAGAAATGGACGCAGAGTCTAGGAGGGGTTAAAGGCCGAGGGTCTCCCTAGAGGTAGCGATCGTATTTTATGTTTGGTGTGCCACGTGCCTCCTTTTGCTGCTGTGTCTCCCGGGTCCCTCCTGAATTCTGGAACAGAGGGCAGCCCACTTCCCTGTGCTCAGAAGCAGGAACCAAGGCTTCACAGTGGAATGAAGCCACTGTAAAGGCTGGAGCCGGAACGCCTCACTGCTGGATCTGGTGGAGGCTCTGTGTTCGCAGCAGACTCCCACAGACCCCGGCTGGGGGAGCGGTGCCGCCTCGCCCCACATCAGCTCCAGCCTCTCCCCGCACCTCTGAGTCCTGGCAGCCGGGGCGCTCTCCCTGGAATCCTCCGCCATCCACAAGGTGATGGCGGCTGGAAACTTGTTCCACTGCACTTTGCCAGGGAGCTATACTTAGCCGCCAAGTGGAGGCCAGGAGTGGGCTCGCTGAGTATAGATAGTAAGCAGCGGACTATTTTAGAACTCCCAGAGAACCCCCAGCACGGTATTTATAGAAGCCTCTGGGCTTCTGGAAGGGAAGCCATAACCTTAGTGTGCCTGGGCCTTCAGGAGAGAGGTCTCTCCACGGGGAGCGGGGCAGGGAGCTGGGCCCCCGAGAGGCTGGGTGTCCCTCTCACACCTGTTCCTGGACCCGAGCCACGGGGCCAGGCGCTCGCGTCCCAGTCAGAAGGCAGCGCGCGCAGGTTTTCTGTCCGCTGCCCGTCACGTGCCTCCTGGGAGCGACTTTCATGTGGTGATGACGCCGCCCCGCCCTCGGCTCGTTCCGATTCTCGTCCAGAATCCTGGCGCTTTCTCAGCCTCCTGCTTTTGCCCAGACTGAGCTGGGCCGCCTCTGAAACACCCGCCTCCAGCTCCCCTGGTCCTGGGGCTCCTTCCCTGGAGAGAGGCACCAACAGCGTGCCTGAAGCTGTGCGGCCAGAAGGCCTTCTTTACGGAGAAAAGGGGAAATGTAATGCGTAAAACTGGGGTAGAGAAAGCCTATAGCTGGGGGGACCCAGGTAGCAGTCCTGCCCTCACCCGGGCCGGTGTGAGGGATGGTTGCACCTCTCCTGATTCCCATCTGTGGGTGTTGGGAGAGGGCTCCAAAAACCCAGATCTTAAGAAGCGAGCATCCCGGGTCAATGCTGCCGACCAGGCAAAGTCATGAGGAATGAGGAACGGAGGGTGGGAAGCTGTGAGGCCTGAGTGGCCGGTGCGGACACGGCCCCACGGCGGGGACGAGGCATGCTGACTGCAGCCGCCCTCCTCGGAGGGGAACATCTCCCCCACTCGCTCCACGTCGACTCCCTGGCAGGTGCCCGGGCCTCTCTTCATCCCGCCTGCCAACCCACCCTCTGCCACCCCTGCCCTCCGCCAGCCCAGATATAAATATAAGAGCATTTTCCATGGGCCGGCACAGAAGGGCAAACATGGACTTTATTTAGGCCTGTGAAATTCCCTTCCTCCATCCCCAACAGGTGCCTCGCTTCATTTAGATATTGGTGCTCAGAAATAGAACACAATCTACAATATAGCTTCCTTCAGGCATCTGGATGCCATTAAAATAAAAAGCCCTCCAGTGAGATGGGCACAAACACGAGTGCGGTTGGAGCTTAGCCTTCGCCAGGGATGAGAGGCTCCCCAGCCCCGGGCTGCCCACCCTGCTCAGCAGAGGCCCAGGCGTTCGGGAGACAGTGGAGGGATGTCCCTGGAGGGCAGAGGCCTGTTCCCACCC